TGCACTAATGGTTTTACCCTTTTGATTTCTCTTCATAACCACAAGAGCCACGAGGCATAAATACCAAATCTTGGAACATATGACTTATTTCTTTTGTGTGTTGAGAGCATCCACATTCCAGGTTCTAGAAATGGTGTCTCAACTTGGCTTCTAAAGTTGTCTACAATATAAAATATTTTATATTTTGGTACCCATATCTTTTTGGGTCCTTTTTTGTTAGTTTTCCCAGAGTTTTTTTTCCAACCTAGGGTTTCTGTACAGAATAATTATCATGTATGTGTCTATAAGTGAAATGGGAGTTCGGAGTTTTTGGTTTAATTTCCTAGTGTTTTGAATTAGATTTTAACCCCAGAATTCTTAGGTGGCACATAACCAATACCTCTTTTCCATTTCTACTTACTCCATAGATCATGGAAGCCATCTTGCTTCTTTCTATGTTTCATGCAATAAATTTTTGGAAAGACATGTCATATTTTCTAATGAAAGATTAAGAGTTTATAGGAGTTTCTGAAAGATTTTATTTTTCAAGTTCAATACTCTTTCTTTTTAAGGAAAAGTTTTCTTTTTCAAGAATGTAAATCTTTTCTTTCAGATATGATATTTCTTTCAGTTGCTCACCATGGAATTCAGAGTCAGCTACATGAATATGTTTCGGATTCTTGTATCTTTTTTGAAGTTTATGACTATTTTCAAGAATTTCAACTAGAGATAAATCAAGTTCAGGATGAGTTAAATGTGAGAATACATCTTTAGTGTATGAATCTGATTCTGATTCAAAGTCACATGCTTTTGTGCTTTCCATCAACACCATATTAGATTGCTCCTCTTCAAAGTCATCTCATGAAGCTTCAAAATCATCCCAAGTTGCCATAAGAACTTTCTTTTCTTTGGCTATTCTCTTTTTAACTTGAGATATTCATTCTTGTAATGGTCTGGCTCCTTGCACTATAAACATATGACATCTTTGTCATCAGAAAACTTCTCTTGTCTAGAGGTTGACTCAGAACGTCCATATGATTTTCTGTATCCTACGTGCTTGTTTTGTCTTTTTTTTCCAGAGTTGATTTACTCTTCCGGTTAGAAGAGATAATTCACTATAATAATCTTCTTCATATTTTTCTTCTCCGGCTTGAAGATCTCTAGTCTTTTAAGACTTGCCTTTGGACTTCAAAGCCACTAAATTTCCTTTCTTCTGAGGCTCGTCCTCTTCCAGCTTTATCTTATAACTTCTTATAGAACTTATAATTTCTACCAGAGTCGTACTTGTAAGACAATATTGGTTTTGCATCTGGTCTTATGTTTTGATGATAACTTTACATGTTTTCTTAGAGAAAAATTGTGTACTTTTATGGTATTTTGTCTAGTGTGCAGCTTTTGCTAAACATGTTCTAACTTTAGTAAGAAGGCGTATGACGTCATCAGGATCTGAACTCAGCACTCTAGAATAATACCTTTGGTATGTTTCAAGTTAAGTCAAGATTATGGAATTCTTCTTATGCAACGGTTCTAAGGAATATTAGTAAAAGAGCTTCAGATCGTGACTTTCACAAGGAAGCTTTGGAGGCGTTCTAAAGCTTTACTTCTATTGTTCCAAGTTTTGAAGATGATGAAGACAAGGTTCTGCTGAACAAGTTCTGAAGATCTGAAGACATTCTTCTGAAGACCAAGTGCTGAAGACTCTGAAGGCAAGGGTTCTCTTAACAAGCTTTGAAGACTCGAAGACTTAGGTTCTAAAGATACAAAGTTCTGATCCTTCTATAACATGCTTCATCAATATACAAATCAGAAGCCTCTGAAGATATAAAAGCCAAAGATCAAGACTAAGAGATTGCGTGTGATGGTGAGAATAAAAGTACAAAGTACTTTGTGACCCCTACTCTAATAGGGTGGCGTCAAGACAGACCTTTTGTACTTGTTATCTACCATTTCCACCAGGACCATTGGAAACAAAACAATTGTATTTGTGTTTTCTATTCTATCCTCCAACGAATCTTTTTTTCAGCTATAAAAGGAGGACTTGAAAGAATTTGAAATTAACGAATCAGTTCAATAAAAATACGCTAAAGAGTTGCACAAATTCTTTTGAGATATTCTTTGTATAGTTTTGTAAATAGGAAAGGAGCTTTTGTTCGTATCTTGCTATCAACACTTTATGTTGTTGTACTTAAACATTGTGTAATTTTCTTAATAGAAGCATCTTTGTATACACATCTTTGTAAATCAGTTATTGATAGGTTCCTTGAGAGATTCTGTGAGTCTGGATTCTCAAAAAGACTTTGACAACGGTCATAGTTGATTTACAATAAGGATCGACGAACTTGTTGGGGTTGTCAATAAGGTTGATCATACTTATTGTGGTTGTTTGTAATCGGGTTGATTATAATGGATTAAATAAGGCAAATCACCTTGCGGGATGGACTGGAGTAACTTAGTTAACAATAAACCAGGATAAAAATAATTGTATTCATCTATTTTTATTCTCTTGTTAGATTTGTAGTTGGGTTGTGAAAAAATTATATTTGGTGTAACCCAATTCAACTCTCCCATTTCTCGTGTTTCTCGCACCTTGATTATTGTTCAAATTCTTGGATACCTTAATAGTAGTCACCATAAACCTCCATTACTTTGATAATCTTATGATGATTTTCTTCACGTGATATGTAGTAGTGTAGCCTTTGTTTAAAATTTTTAATTCATATACTAGAGTCTGATTAAGAACATGTCCTCAACTGTTTCATCTTCCTCTATTTTGAAGACTTTATACTTCTGAATCAAGGTAATCTCTTTGATGGTTCTATCCTTCTAATAATCAGACTTTTCTCCATCAATGACTGGAGGTTTAGTAGAGTAATGATCTTTATCATTGTTAATAACTGCCATTATGTGTTTCAAAAACTGGAATTTAATCTGACATAATTAAGTGTTTGATATAAAACAATCAATACCAGAACTAGAGCTCCAATTCTAATTGAAGGAACAAAGAAACACAAAAAAGGGGGTTTGAATTGAGTTTTTAGTTTAAAACTTTTTTATCACCCAAGAACACAAACATCAAGAATACAATAATGATAAAAGACACGAGGATTTTATCCTGGTTCTCTTTTAACGAAGCTACCTCCAGTCCACTCGTCAACGCGATATTTTCTTCTTAATAAGGACTTAATTCACTAATCAAAATTTGATTACAACTTCAATTATAACTTGTCAAAGACTTATTAAGAATCTTGACTATACCCTAGTCTATAAAAGAACTAAATCAGATTTACAATAAGGATTTGTATTTACAAATATGCTTCTTAAAAAGCTGATACACACAATGAATTATAGACATTTGCACTTTAGAAAAATATACAATGAAAAGTTCAAAGTGTATAGATAAAATTTTTTCTCTCAATGATGATTCTAGTTTTTCTTTTTTCTTATTTCTTTTCACACTGGTGCTCCACACTTATTTCTTATCTATTCCATACTTCCAAGACCTCTTTATATAGATGGTGAAAAGATCTGTTGGAGGGTGGAATTAGAAAATCCTCAAAATTCAGAGTTGTTATGAAAATGCTTGTTATAAGTACTGTAGTGAGGATGAAACGATTGACAACAACAATGGTACAATAGTACAGCCTTTTTCCTGAAATTCAGGGTAGAGGAAAGGATATCACCATATTTTTCCTTTTAGGAACGTTTGAAATTTTGTCGCTTTTAAAGTTGTACTATTTTCAAGAATATTCTTTCAATCATTATTCTAATCATTGACTTAATATATAAGGAGATTAGAAGCTCAATTAGAGTTCAAAGCGTGTCTTCAAAACTTGGAGATAGTGAGACTTTTGAGTCTATAAAGTTCAGAGACCTGAGGCTTCAGAGGCCTGAAATATTAGAGTCTTTTTTAGAGTCATTCTGAATATATTCGTGCAGAAGTATAGACTTGATAACTCAGATGCTTGACTCCATTTAATCATGCATTTGTTTCTTACTTTGATTTAGAGTGCATCTACGGTTTAAAGTCTCCTAACTTCAGATTTTGACAATCTTCAGATTTTGCTTAGATCAGATTTTAGATGTGTTTTTTTTTAGAGTCTGATGCGTCTATACTTGACTTCATCATAGTCAGAATCTATTTTCTTTGATCTGCGCACTTAACAAATTAGTTAGAGTACATAATTTCTCTCTCTACATATTAAGCTATGTTATCATCAAAACTCAATGATACTTGTTGAACCAAACTTGTTCTAACAATATAATGCTTAAAATTCAGTCACACTTGAGAATTAACATCATTGCCTAAAGGTGCAACGCTTATTAATAAGAAATGGGTTTTCAAAATTAAAAAACATGTAAATAGAACGATATAAATATTCAAAGCAAGGCTTGTTACATGAGGGTTCACATGAATATAAGGTTATATGCTGCTAAAATATGTAAAATGATATTACTTGCCTTGTCTTCCAACAAATGTTGGTGAATTCATCATGTAGATGTGAGTAATTACTTCAAACATGGATATTTTAATGAAGCAATATACATGTAGGTGTCAAATCCCTGCATATATAGGTGCATATTGCCACCTTATGGAGAGATTATTATACCTCACTACCACTTGATCATTAGAGTGGTTGTTTGGAAACTAGGCATAAGTGAATCCTCTAATAATCATAAGTGAATCCATTACATAAAATATTTGAATTCACTTATGATTAACACATTTTTCCATAAAATTAACTTATAACTAATTTTTTATAAAAATTGCTTATAAATATTTTTTCATAGAAAAAGAAGACAACAACATGACATAACATAACATTAAATTGCATAACATAAGAGGAACATAAAAATGTATATCTACACTCACTCACTTACAATTCTTTCACACTTTTCTATTTCAAGTAATAATTAATGCACTTCAAAATTGCTAAAGAGAGTACAAAAAAGATTCCCCTCACTCTCACAATCCTATACTTATCATTTTCTTAATTTTTAGGCCTTTTTTTTTTAGCAAACATTCAATTAATTAAAAATATGCCATTATTCCTTCTTTGTCTTTCTTTCTCTCTTCTCTTATTCTTCTTTATCCATGAAAAGCAACCACTTTGCCAACAAATTTGTTCATCTTTCTTCTTACATTCATGCATCCCACTCTCTTTTTCTTCTCTTGTCTCCCATATTTCTTTGTCCTTCACTTCCACCTGCACATGCATTCATTTGCATCTCACATGATATATTTGGTATCTTACAAACCCTTTAATAATAGTTTCATATTATTTCTTGATAACAAAATAAAAAACAGTTCTTTGAAAGAGATGTGTAAGAAGGTGTGTACGAGTAGACAGAAAACAACTGGTTGAAAGTAGGGATGTGGAGGGACCAAAACTTGAGTGGGATGAGCACATGAAATGAGATAGATATATAAATATAGGGACCATTATATGATATCTATAGTACTATTGCCCCACATTTTTTATAATATGGAGTTTACATGGTTACTAGATTTGATTCTCTTATCTTGGAAAATACACCCTGGCCCTATGTTTTTTTTTTTTCTTTAATTTTTTTTATAAATGAATATTTTCTGTTCAATTGAAAAAATTAATTCTTCAAATATAATAGACGGCAAAATTCATATATATAAGTCAAATCATCATCATATTAAGAAAAAACATGTAGCACTTACCTCTTCCTCTAATTTAATTTCATTGTTATCTGAATTTAGTGAGTCTTGAGATAGCTTTGAGAAAGTCTCTATGTTGGATGGAGTTAAAATAGTGCTAAGATTGCTTGAACTAAGACAAGGAAATGTACTACTTTGAGTGTATGCATCTCTTGTGATTCCCTCCTTTTTCTTTTCTGCATAAGATCGAGTAGAATCGTTATTAAATAAATTATATTTTCTGCGCGCAATTGCATAGATTAAATCATCACTTAAGAGAGAGTCGTAATATGCACCAAATGACTTTCTAGAGAAATAAAACCTTTTATATTCTCGGGGCTGGATTCGAATTCGGGACTTGTACTATGAAATTGAAGAGGTACATCTTCTTTAGTGAAACTAAAAGTTGAAGCCATTGTCCTTGTTTGAATTTGTCTTGATGAATAAACTAGTGGAGCAGACATGGTGATTCTATTTGTAGTTGAGTTTTGAAATAATCTTCCACTAAGTGTTTTTGCAGATAAACATTCCATTGGTACTTGTCCTGATAAAGGGTTGCATATATATTTTTCAGCTTCATTCCATTTTGAATTTAATGCAAATCCTTCTGGTGATAAACACTCCCAACTTTTATAAACTGATCTTGCTTGCAATGCTTCAATAAACAACACCATGCAAATAATTAATTTATATTATCAACTTATAACAATTTAATCCATATGATATGCCCCTAGTATAAAAAAAAATTATTACACCAAATTAATCATAATCTTTGTATTATTAATAGCATTTTACTTCAATTATAACATGCATGCATGTTTGAATTGGCGTTAAGATTAACCGAAAAATTACGATGAGACATTGTTATTTACGAAAAATTAAATTTTTAAATTTCTAAATTAACGAGTTTGACAAAATCACAATGAATCAGCGTAATTCTACAACAATTAAAGCTTCAACAGAATTATAGTGACGTCGTGATTATTCGACATACCTTTAAGAGCAGTAGTGAAGGAATAGGTTGAAGGGTCTATTTCATCTGCAAAAAAAAAAATTGAGAAAATTTTGAAAAAAAAAGTTGATACTAAGAAATATAAAAAAAAATTATGAACTTATTGAAGTGAAATGAAAATGATGAATACCTTTTAATGTGTAACCAGGAGAAGAAGCAGTGCTAGAAATGGTTATGTTTGATCTAAAAGAATCTGTGTCTTCTCTAATGCTTCTTATAATTGATGCTGAATATCTTCTTGATTTTGTGTTTTCTCTACTTATGATTCTTCCTTTCATTCCCCATTCTGTAAAATTTAAATCTGAATCATCTTGTTTCATTGAATTATAAAGAGATGATTGATGAATTTCTAGTGTTGATGCCATGTTTTTTTCAGAACTTTTGTGAAGCTTTAAGGTTTATATACTCAAATAATGAAGTTTTTTATGAGTAAAATATTCAAGTGATATTTAAAATTGTAGAGTTTTTATTAATATTTTTAAATAATTTTGAAATTGTAAAATATCCATAAAGTTTGCCCCTCTGTCTAAATTTGTAATCAAATGTGTCCTTCATATTTTTGTTCTATTTTATTAATTTATAAATATAACTCGTTTTCAAAATATAAATAGTTGTCTTAAGATATTGAACTTCGGACCATAAATATAAATAAATGTTTTCTTGATATATTGAGTTTTAGATTAATAATTGACACTTGATATTATTAATTTGTCGTTTTCATTTCTACAAAAATTATAGTTAAATATAAGTAATTTTATAATAATTTATATTTTAAATTTGACTTTTTCAAAATCTAATTTTAAATCTTTCTGAGGTCATCCAATTGAGATCGTCTAATTATAATGATGATTCAAATTTAAATTTGATATTTGAATTATAATCATAATTTATATTTGTATACATGATTTAATGGTTTAATAGTTATCGATTCTCAAATGCATGAATGCAAGATTAGGTTGAGGGAAAATTGGTCCATTTTCAATAATGGTTTAATAATTAATGTTTTATACATGATTTAATGGTTTAATAGTTATCGATTCTCAAGTATGCAATATTTTATTCTCATTAATTCTTAAAGCTTTGTTTAAATATCATAAAATAAATTCAACAAAGTGGAATGAGATATAGTAAAATATAACATAGTGGAAAAAAAAATTATATTTTATCATTTGAAAATTTTAAAACGGAATAAAATAAATTCTTTAATACACTCAAATCAAGAAGAAAAAGATATAATGATAAGTGATGAAATAAAATAAAATTTTACACTGCTTCATCTCATTTGATCAATCAAAACAAAGCATAAAAAAGAAATGTTGTTTATAAAACTTCTTGGAAAAAAGTGGTAACTATGTACCATATAATATCACAGAAAAAACATAATTGGCCAGGTATAAGTTGATAAATTGTGGAACAATTAGTGGTCATGATTTAGTTATTGAACATGACATTGTTGTTTTCCCTTAAAAAGACCAACAATGGCCTTATTATGTTACATTACAAGACATTAATTTATTTTTTTAATTATAAAACATTAATTATTAATACCCATTTTTAGAAAGCTTCTCCTTTAAGTTGCAGTTAGGTTAGGTGAAATTGGTCCATTTTCAATTATGAATCAGCTGAAAAGGTTCCAAATTAAAGAGGTAAACATGCATAAAGTAGTGGCTTATATAGAATTACAATATGCCACTTTTTAAAACACTGTTATTACATATGTTCACTTTTTTCTTTGCTAAAACATAAGAGCGGCAAAACGGACTCTCAGTTCCGCTCCACTCCGTTTTATCTGTCTTAACTCTACTAAAAAAAATGAGATAGACAAATTTGCCAAGTAAAAATGAATATAAAATTTTATTTTTTATTTTTTTTATTAAAAGATTTTTTTAACATTTTAATTAGATTTTTCACTTATTTTTTAAAATAACTTTTTATAAAATATTTTTTAAATAAAATTTACTTAAAAAAATATTACATATATTCACAAATAAATGTATAAAATAAAACCATTAAAAATTAGACCTACTAGAATTAACTAAAAAAAATATGAGTTTAAGGTGGGATAAGTTGAACGGATAGACACGACAGATTTTGACAGACGACGAATTTTAACGAAACGGGCTTTGACATACGACAGTCTTTAGTAGAACAAATTTTGATAGACGGCAAATCTAAAATCTCTAACCAATCCGACATTTATAGCGAGTGCATCGACCAACTCGACGGTCCAACTTATTTTGCCACCCTTACTAAAACATACATCACTTGAATTTATCACTTTTTATTTTAAAATAAATATTTTACTTTTGAATAATAAACTTATTTTTTAAAAAAAATTATTTAGTAGATAGGCTCTCATACTTTTAATATATAAAATATTATTTATTTAAATTCAATCTCATGCTTATGAACATCGGTACAACTATTATTTTTTTACAATAAATATCCTCATTCAATAGATGAAATAAAAGATGTATAGATAAATTGACAAATACTCCATCCGGTCTCATTTATAAGAAAAAATTAACTTTTTAGATACATTGAATAAGTAATGTATTTGGACAATATATTGTCCAACTACATTACTTATTTAATGTATCTAAAAAGTTAATTTTTTCTTATAAATGAGACCGGAGGGAGTATTGAGTATGGGCATTTCTCATCTTCATACTAAATCAATACTAATAGCTAAGTCTGTCAAGAGTTGGACAACAATAAATTTTGAGAAATTAAAATTCAATGGAGTATTATCAATCTAATTCTTTAATCCAAGCAACCAAGCAACAATCTTCCACAAAAGATAAATGAGTTTGGGAACCACAATCTTAAAATTTATTCAGTTACATATAATTTATTTGACTTTATCACACACAGTTCAATTATACAGTTCGATTGTTGATAAGTACCAAAATATCATTATTTTCAATTGTAAATTGTAGCACTTATTAGCTTTGTTATGTTGGTTTTTATAGTAAAATCCTGACTTTTGTGTACATAATTGTTTAATAGTTTATTCGTGTAAATATTATATCAATTAATAGTTTTTATCTTATTTCTTGTAAGATTTATCGCATTGTTAAAGCATGTAACATCAAAGACCAAATAAAGCTCCAAGATGTATTTTTAGAAAAGAAATAACAAGTCCCAAGTCGGGCTAAGTGCGGTCCTAGCGCATTCAAGAAATTCTGGATAGAGGTTTTCGGGCTAAACCCCAAATTTGAGGCAAAGCGTGGAGCGGGCTAAGCGCGTTCATCAGCGTAAGTCAGTTTGCTCAATAAGTGACAGTGCGCTTAGCGTGGTTTTGCAGGCTAAGCGCGGTCTGCTATTTTCTGCCCCTTTATATTTCATTTCAATCATTTTTTAGGTTATGGTTTTGGGGAATATTTATCCCAACTCCATCATTTTCATTATTTTGATGATTGAGCTTAGAAAACAACATTTGGAGGTTGTAATTGGATGATCCAGGGTCGAGGCTTCTTTGATCGTGATTGACACCGTGAAAGATTTTGTTTCTTCTCTTTATAAGTTTCATTTGTTGGGGTTTGTTTGTAAGTATAATTTGTTTTGTATGTATATTTATTTCTCATGGTATTGTATAAAACCTCTTTTACAAACCAATGTTGATGTTTATCCATGTTAGCTTGCTTAATGTTTGGATTTGAATTTCTATAGACATATACGGTTCAAATCTGGATTTAGGATGAATATTTGTTAGGTTCTAAACTCTAGAGATATATTTAGGCTTAATGATCATTTTGGATATCTACTCTTAATGCCTCTGTTGTTTACGTTGTGCGACACATTACTGACGGGATCAAAACTGTTGATATCTAACTTTGCGTTATAAATAACCTCTGTGTGAAAGATATGTGATGATATTGACGAATATTCTAGGTTGAGTGTGATTGAGAAGTACGTTTAAGTATTTAATGGGTATATGAAATTCAATCCTGAGAGTTCTCTCCTCTCCAAAGAATGTATTTATTTTCTTGTTCATAATTTACTTTTTGCACTTTATACTTTTAAACCATTTAAACCCAAGTTCAGAAACATGAAGACTATTGAATGACATTCTTTCCCTCGCACTAATCCATATGAAGACGAAAAAATAAAACTAAAAATACTTACTTTTGCTTACTGCTTTACCGCAACAACAATTATACAAGTTCTTATTTAGACTCAAATTCTTTATTGTATAAAAATCATCCTCAGTTTTTATTATTGTTTTTTATCTTTGTTGTTTTTGTTGGTGTGCATATTTTTCCTTTTATTCATTTTATCTCTTGGATTATAATCCTTATTTTTTTTTATATGCTTCGAAGTTAACGAATATATTAATTGGCTTTTTTAATAAAACAAAAAATGCAATTTAAAATGATAAACTATATGGAGAAAAAAATCAATGGAAAATTAAACTCTTAGGAATTAAATTCTCATAGAGTTTGCTAAATAGATATTAACTAATGAAAGAGAAATAAAAAACACTCTTAATTTTTGAACAAGCGAGACTCTCAATTTAGCAAGTCAATCAACACTACCATTATCCTCGTGTAAGGTGTGGACAAGGATAAGTTGCCACTCTTCATGAATAAGATATTGGATATAATTCACCAAAGCATAAGGATGAGTAGAATGCACACTCTCTTGAATGAACTTCGGAGCCTTTTGAGATTCAAACTCGCAAATCACATTTCTGAAACCATGATCTCAAGCAATATCAAGACCATGAAAAATGGTTTGAAGTTTGACATTAATATTAGAGTGAAACCACAACTTCCTACAAAATGTGTCTTAAAGAGTTTCCTCAAAAGACCACAAAAGTCGGATGACCTTGGATTATCAATGGAACTATCACCTACATTTACCTTTATCACATTTTCTGGGGGAGAGTGTCAAGACACAAGTATATGGGTTGATATCTTATTAGAACCACCAAAAGCTTGTTTGGTATAGTGTAAAAGAGTAGTTATTTAGCTAAGAATGTTCCAAAGAGAGTGATTATTGTCTTTGAAGGATTCGTCATTACGAGATTTCATAATCATCCAACAACAAATGAGAAACAAAGGGTCATGGTTGGCGACCGCATTAATTTTCATCTCATTATTCATATCATCCTCATAAAATGAATGTGAGATGGAAAATTGAAATTGTTCCAAACTGGCATGACCTTTGGGCAATATCTAAAAGTGTGTAAAATGGTATCATTAGTTTCACGACATCTATAACAAGATATATTTGTTGACATGTGATGAGTGACATGTGTAGAGTTGGTAGATAACTTCCCATGCATGATGATCCAAACAAAATGACGAATATTTTTAAGTAACTCGAGGTTCCAAATCCAACACTAGGTCATTATCTGAAT